GTCGTTGAGGAAGGGATACTTTAAATACGAAGCAATCGGACTTCACACACCAGAACAGTCCCAATGTCCGCTGAGCATGTGGCTCCATCATGCTGAGACTGATCAATTCGGATGCCTTTTCGTTCTCCGGTACACCCAACAATGCGGTTTTGTCGTTACTAATCCATTTGTGCAGTCGGAAACCATCTAGAGTCAATAGAGAACGAAATTGTTCCATGACTCGTTGGGCTGCCTCTACACTGTTCACCGACACCAAGCAGTCATCGACGTAGAAATTTTTCTCTACTTCTGAAATGGTAGTTTCATTGAATTGCGATCGGTGATCGGTTGCTGTTTGCTTGAGAGCAAAAGTCGCACAAAACGGAGATGATTTCGCTCCGAAAGGATGTACATTCATCTGGTAAACTATTGGTTCTTGAGTTAAGTCGCCATCTGAGTACCACAAAAAACTAAGGGCCGAGCTGTCGTTAGCCGTCAACCGGACTTGCAGAAACATTTCTTCGATATCCGCCGTCAGCGCTACACTTCCTCTTCTGAACCGCAATAGGACGCCGGTTAGCTCGTTCACCAAATATGGACCGGTGTGTAGATAATCGTTCAGGCAATAACCTTTGAAGCTGGCAGCGCAATCAAACACAATCCTCACTTTTCCAGGTTTTCGAGGATTGGTTACAGGATGATGTGGCACGAATCGTCGTGTAGGTGTAGAAGACCTATCTACGCGAGTCACGAAGCCTTTTTTCTCGTGTCGTTCGATTATGCTCGCATACTGACGCAGTAATTTATCATCCTTTTCTAGACCCTTGCGCAGGTATCGAATACGTCCATCGACCATCGCGCGATTGTTAGGCATCTCTGTCCAAGGTCTTTTCCAAGGCATCGGTACCACGTAATGACCACCGACCATCTTCACCGTACGAGTTGTGAAATCCAGGACCCGTTTAACTTCCTCAGCTAAAGCCTTTCCGGTCGCTGTCCCCTGCTCAATAAGCTCAGCGTTAAAGGATCTTAAGATATCGTCATCTACCGAGCATTGAGTTTCAACATAATTAACAGAGGTGTTGGTATCTCTCTTACCTCCTCTGGGTCCAAAGTTTACCCAACCAAACACGGTAAGGTTAGCGTACGGTTGTTTGGTTCCGCCCAGTCGCTGCTCAATGACCTAATGAGCTTCTGGGAAGTTCGTGCCAATGAGGAGCAAGAATGACTTGTGATCTACTTTGTGGAACTTCAGATCTGATAGGTNGAGCCACATCCACAGAGAGCAAAGTGGAATCGGAACCGTTATACAGGAAGGCGTACGTTACAANGGAATGAAACAGTTGAAACAAAGCCCTTTTTGCTTAAGCATACCGATCCTTTCTGAGTGTTCCATACCCAAGAAAAGATCATCATACCGCTCAGGACCTTTGGCGTTCATTTCTTTAACTTTTTTCTTCGATTCGTCTCTGCTATCAAATTGAGGTCTTCGGTGACACCATACGTTAAGGAAGATTCTTCATCCGGCGTGCCCAGTAGCGCTTCTCTTTTAATTCCAAGTCTAATTCCTCTCTTCTTAAACTATGCCTACTACAACTCGCTACAGTATGCCTGTTCAATTCCCTATCACAATACATGTCAAACTTAGAGGGTGATGAGAACTGTGAAACCGGGGGCGAGTGTACAACACGGGGGGAGTTCACCTGAGTTATGGTATTCTCCCCTTCATGACTGTCTGGATTCTTCGACTGACAACTCCGGGTTACAGGCATCTTCGAAGAATAGATCCAAACACAAATTGACAAAGTATAGGATATCCCGAGTGCTCGAGACCAATGGTAAATTCCAATTCAGAGTACTAGTTTGAGTACTGTTGACTTCACAGGCTACAACGATCCACGTAGAGTGACGCGCAAAAAAACCGGAAGACGGTGTCTTTCAACAAATGGGTTTCTTCTACAAATGCGGTACTGAAATACAGTTTACAATAGTGAAAATATGCAAAACTCAAACTGTGGCACTAGCCGGTTAAAAACACCGGAATCTGTGAAGCCAGTAATTCGACAAGCAAGAACTGCGAGCAAGCAGGCGCGCAGTGCGATGACAATAGAACCAATACACCGAACAATGTCGAACAGGATCACATGAATCCGTGGTGGTCAATAGTGAGAAGCGACCTAGGGGGAACCAATCACAACACAGTGGGTGTAAACGTGTCAACAGGGCCCGTCGTGACCGGACAGTGCGATGAGTCGGTGTAGGTGTGTGCGTACGTGTGTGTACACAAGTGTCAGAGTCAGTCGACCATGGGAACGGGTCGATGGGACGGGTGAGACCGACAGAGGTCAACGTAATGGGGCAGACATACTAATAGTGCGTCTGTGGAAACGGCGTGTAGAACAGTCATANAAAAACACCGGAATCTGTGAAGCCAGTAATTCGACAAGCAAGAACTGCGAGCAAGCAGGCGCGCAGTGCGATGACAATAGAACCAATACACCGAACAATGTCGAACAGGATCACATGAATCCGTGGTGGTCAATAGTGAGAAGCGACCTAGGGGGAACCAATCACAACACAGTGGGTGTAAACGTGTCAACAGGGCCCGTCGTGACCGGACAGTGCGATGAGTCGGTGTAGGTGTGTGCGTACGTGTGTGTACACAAGTGTCAGAGTCAGTCGACCATGGGAACGGGTCGATGGGACGGGTGAGACCGACAGAGGTCAACGTAATGGGGCAGACATACTAATAGTGCGTCTGTGGAAACGGCGTGTAGAACAGTCATAGAAGGCACGGATAAATGAGGGGATGAAATCAACATTACACGGTCAAAGGGAAGACAATGGACCACAGGATGGTGGTGCTGGGTGTATGTGTGTGAAGAGTGTCAATATGGGCAGAATTTATTCTACAGTGATCAAATTCAACTAACCGAACCGTCGAGAGATTTCGCAGAATGTGCAGGAATGTACGAGCGGCTAGGTGACTTGCCAGGCTGCTCAATCTTAGTGGTCGCCTATACCCTGCAATATTCCAATATTGGTTATCACACGCATTCACTAAAATTATGAGCACGCTTTTCCTTTGAAGTGTAACGCAGCTGTACGCCCTTGAAAATAACTTTCTTGCCGATCTGATTGGCAACTGGATTTTGGGAGGTCGAAGGTTAAAAATAGTTTAACTGGGTGTTTGAGTTGTGATTTCGTGTGATCAGCCTGCTGTCTACGATATGCAGTCAGTGGCAGAAAACTACAGAGTACAATCATACACATCAAAAACAACAGACTCCTCCAAACATACAGGAAATAAATAAAACTCATGAGGTTCCACACTGTTAGTAAGCTAAATAGTCAAGTCCAAACGTGCTGTACGCCAATATAAACCCCGCAACACTGTATTGTACCCCGCTCCCCTTAGAGTTTTGGATTTTCTCACGTCTCAAATCCGCAGGCGTGACCATTGTTGATAATGTATATATATTTGTATACATGAGAGATGAAATTCATCGTGTATATACAAAATGAAGCGTGAATTGAAAAGCTCAGAAGGACTGGGCAGCTGTTTCGATCTGGTTCCGTCTCATCAGCAGCAGTGTGAATCCATCAACCCAACTGGGGATCAAACCCAGGACCTCACGGATAGGACGCAAGTATGCTACTCACTCGGCCGACAGGTAGCTGATCAGGGAGTTTTTCATTTTCCATTGCCCATTTACACGAAACAGCTGTCCGGTGCTTACTAGGTTTTCAGTTCACCAATTTCACCTTTGAAGTTGAATCAGATCCTCCATTACTCACATGAAGTCTATATATAATCAATTTATGGTAATCGAATACAAAGTCGAAATACGAAGTTTCATCAAATTGTTTTATGACGAAACCATGTCAAAGAAACACTATTTTCACCCCTATGAACTTTACATTCGTAAATGGACTAAAACAACCAGTACGCTCGTCTTCCCACGTTTGTAATTCGGCATGGAAACTGGTATCTGTAAGCTACGGTCATGTGGGACCCGGGTGACACTAACCATATGCTCCACTTCTGTCTTCTTTTACTTCCTTTTTTATTTATTGAATATACAAATGTACAGTCAATTTGCACGAAGAAGGCCGCTGCTATGAAAAGTCTGCCTGAGAAAATACAGGAGTGGGTGGAAAATGGGCAGCGATAGAGCGATTCGAACCCGGGATCCCCGGGGTCACAAGTTGGTGACCTAACAATTTCGGCTTTCTGCGGTTCATAAAGTTATCTTCTAGTTCAGGAAAACTCATAATGACCGTGCCTTTGATATAAGAATTAATCCGAAATTCTAGGGAGCATGGGAAAGATGCAATAGTTTTTGTCGCGGGATCCAGTCTCGTCAGTCCATTGCTGATTGACAGGAAACCGGGATTTTACCCTAAAGGTCAGACAGATGTGTATTTTTGCATTCGACAGTCGACGTTCTTCGGAGTCTAACTGATGTTCACAAGAGTTGCGTTTGTTTCGCGTGCTATCGATTGGTGCGATTCGTGGAGATTACGCTAAACACAACCCACAGGGTTGATATAGGTCATCTATCGAACAAATGGATTGCACACATTTTCCCTCGTCTAAAGTGTTAGCAAATCGGCACTTCGCAGACGCCCGTGTGAGAGACACTTCTCATAATGTTTTTCGGTTGAAACTATCAAGAAGCTAACAATAGATCGCGACATTTCCACGAAGTGAATAGATTAGCCAAATGGTTCGGTCATTATTGATTCTAAGAAAACTGACATAATGTAGGTTTGCAAATCAAACTGTGTTCTGCCATCTGATCGGATGATTTTCCGCGGAGAACAAAGCAATATAACATCTATCATTCGTGACCCCATTGAAAATGTCTATATATTGGTTAAGTGATGCAACTTTTGTGGCTATTTTTTATCATGCTTATTATTATTATTATTATCGCTATCATGTACATCATTTTCATTGTTAGAATTTTTTAAATTATATTCTGAATGTTTATAGCNATAGCATTGCAGCATCAAGTATGAGCTATTCGTTCCACGAGGAACGACGTTGTGTGGTACTTGACGGGTACGGGATTGCCGCCAGGGTTCCGTGTGACCATATGGCTTTGCCGTTTTGTGAGATCACAGTCGATTGGAGCGGATTGTTGGACAAGCGACCAAACTACACAGATACCAGTCCATTGTGGACTAGTAACAAGGTTGCATCAAACTCACGGACAAATCCCTGGCAGGAGGTTGAACCTGTCATCACTTCACCCCCAGAGCCAACAGAAGCACCACCCTTTGGAGAGGGAGATGAGAATGATGAGGACGATGAAGATGCCTATTAATGATGCGGCTTTGTTGGTGAGCATATCTAACCAACTCCACAAATAGTCGACCACAGTTCACGCGTTTAACCGTTGAACAATGAATGCCTTCGTCGATTTGAACTTAATCGATGCTGGACACCTCTGTCCTTGATCAATAAACAAGTTAATTAAATTCTTCATGAAAATAAATTTATGCAATCCAGTTTTGCCCGAAATATTGCATTTTCTCTTTGCTGTCAATGCTATTCCATCTGTTTCACTTCTCCAAAGCAATACTGTATTTGAATCCCTCAATATGCGGTAGATGTCTATAACTGTCTCTGTGCAGTTAGCAAAATAACTCAGTCATACCCTGTTTTTGATTGAATCTAGTAAACAGTATCACCGAATGAATGAATTTGAGATAATCGATATCCGATAGTTAAACACCCAGTTTCATTGCTAGTGGTTCGACGATTACGTGCTCTATCGGGTTTATCCGATGCAGGGATGATTGTTAGGGCTTGGTGGTGAATTTGTCTTACGACGCGCCCCGCAAGTGCAAACCACGGAAGCTCCTACGATGACACGAGACAGTGCATGCAAAATCACTGGTCCAAGTTAAACAAAAAATGAGTCCAATAGTGGCAAACACAGGTTTGTTTTTCTTTTCGGTACTTCTCCTCAGGCCAGTGCAGTACACACAATCGAACATATAGACACAATATAGCGTGATAATACGCAGTGTTAGTAATTACACAGTTATTGTGATGGTGGATGCTAGGGGTTGTTTCCGGATGAACCAGTCAAGAGTGAGTCAAACTGGTTTGTCTGTTCCACAATCTTACTGGACTTAGGCCAGGGCAGCAGTAGGGTCTTGACAAATTGTTTTTGCAAACACATTATTGGTTGATTTAGCCTGATTGCGGTTGCTTCGGCTGTGCACAGCATTCTTTGTCTCACCCCTTTTGATCGATTATATGCGTACTGGTAGATAACATGTCTACATATTCGATTGTGTGTACTGTATTGATCTGATGAGAAGTACCGAAAAAAAAACAGATATGTGTTTGCCTTTTTCAGACTTCTCTGACAGAACAATGGGTATATTTTTATGATCTAAATGATGAGTCATTTAGGTATCGGTTAGCCCCAAGGTTGTCTTTCCTTCGGTGATCACACGGAATGGTGAAATTTGATTGTTCGATGGAGGCGGGTGCTAAATGGGAATGAACCAATGGGAATCCCATCCCATCAGGAAAACAATTTAGCTTATAGGTTGGTGGGTCGTACGGTTTTATTGTGTGTGCTGTCGACTAACAGTGGCGATCTACTCAAAGTAACCAACAAAGTAGCATCCGGTTACATTTAATCCCAGGGCAGCCCAAAATAAAAACCCTGTGTGATATATTTGACACTCATGTGTGTGTTGGCGCATTTTGTTCAACAATATTTCCAAACCGATGCATCAACTGGGGAGCGGGACTAATAATTTGCTTATTTGCATTTAAATCACATTTACTTGTGAATAGTAGTGTGGGGTAATTGGCACTGATTGATTTGAACTGGTTATCCTTCGGACTTCACATTCACGCACAATTCTCCACTTATCGAATCAACCATACACTCGAAAGCGCTAGACTCAAGTTTCGCTCTTGTTAGAGCGATGGGTTCGGAGTTCAAAGCCCGGACGGTGGGACGGTGAATATGCACTACTGATAAGCTCTAATAAGAACGAAACTCGAGTCTAGTGCTTCCGAGTGTATGGTTGACTGGATGAACTGAGGATTGTACGTGAAGATGAAGTCCGAAGGATAATCAGTTTAAATGAATCATTTGCTTATTTACTTAACTGGTAAAGGCGACAGTTTTTCGTAAATCAGTGCATCTCGGATACTCAATTGATATTTATGTAGGTTATTTCCAAGAACTTCATTGTTTCCTTGCTAACGAGTAAAGAATTAGTTTTCCCTCCCCCCTGTGTGGGTACTTTAATTGTTTATTGATTTCATTATACTTGTGAATGGAATCATATATATTTGGAAATATCATTCGCGAAGGTATTTCTTTCCGATATTTCGCATTAAGTGGTTACGTGTACAAGGTGATCGTAGTGCAGATATGCGATTGACCGATTACGATGACAATGGTGAACGCGTAGAGCAAGGGAATGTGACAAGACTAGTGGTGCTGAGTTAAGCAGGGTCCGTGGACCGCAGCAAGCTTGCAAAGATAGGTTGTTCTATATAGTGTAAATGGAAAATGAAAAACGGTCTGATCAGCTTCCCGGTGGCGTAGTGGGTAGCACGCTTGCGTTCTGCCCATGAAGTCCCGGGTTCGACCCCAGTTAGGTCGGTGGATTGGCACTGCTGACGAGATCCAACCAGGTTAAAACAGCCGTCCAGTCCTTCCCAGCTTTTCAGTTCACGCTTCATTATCTATGTACACGACGAATTCACTTTTGAGCTGGTGGTAGTCTTTGCTAGAGTCGTGGAGGAGGTGAGAGGACAAAGATCAAACCAAAGAACAGTGGTGAGATGGACTGATTGAAATGGTGATTAAAGTTGCCTGTTAAGACCAGAGAAAGAGCGGGATGATGGTACTTTAGGTATACAGTGCGATTGCTCCATCGTTTACCATCGTCTAGTCCCTGTCACTCATGACCTTAAACAAGTAAATTCCCTCTGACCAATTCTGTGATCTGAATGGATCATATTCCGCGACCATATGGAACAACTATCATAATATGAATACAATTTTTCCGTAACATTTGTTCTTTCTTTCGAAACTCTATCTCCGACGTAGTTAGTGAAATCGTTCAACACGAAAACAGCCAGTTGAAAAAAAGCCAAAAAGAGTTTTGCGTGGGCCTACATTAGGGGATATTGTTGTCCGTCATTAAGACAAGTTCAAAGTTTTATTATGATTATCTGTTTACCGAAACCGCTTCGAAAAATAGTGCATGTATCTTAGACGAGTCAAGCGTTGACCCAGTGTCATAACCGCTTAAGCATTTTCCATTCCGAATTTCTCAAATGGCGCACCGCTCCACAACTGCTTCTCTTGTGTTTCTCTATCAACATTTAGGCAGCATCGGATTCGAAACCTATTCTCATCTTGTGCCGGCCTGAACGGGTTCATTTATCGATCGGCTGGATGATTCAGCAGCAACAAGGGACTTGGCGCTTGTCCAGCTAACCCGAGCGAGAAACCATAGTTTGTTTACAGCCGTGAGTTTTAGGCAGGCCCAGTGAGCTTCGAGTGGGCAGCATGAGTACCATCAGCCCACGGATGGACTGGATGTGACAACAAGAGCATTACAAAACGTACAAGCTGGTAGTCAGACAGTCCCATGTTGGGTTGAGGGATTTTAAGTGCCGCAGATCGCGGACTATGATTCAGTCAGATCACAGAAAGGGTCAGAGGGAATTTAATTATTTAAAGTCACTGGTACGAGGGACGAGACGATGGTAAACGAAGGAGCAATCGCACTGTACTAGAACCTACCATCAATCTTCTGCCGTGGGGCAACCACGAAAAGTTGCATTTTCCAATATGTTTCCACGTTTTGAAAAATCCACACGGAACGTATGCGTTACAACGTTTAATGTCTCCCCGCTCTGTCACGGATCTTGATAACTGCTCACTTGATTACTAACCGATCACTGACCAACCGATGTGCAATGTCGCATTTAGCCAATGGCATTTCACCTAGGTCGACGTACAGACCAGGCTATTCACTGATTGGTCAACACTCCTGAGAAATGCAAAAATCGAAGACGCGACAATGTGCAAACGTCAGTGCATCAGAGAGAAGCAGAATGTAGACCGTGAATGTTTAAGTTAGTCCATTCGGTTTTTCACAGACGCCAGGCATTGTTGATGATTTTGGTTGTGAGTTTTACTTCCTCGAAGATCGTAATTTCTCTCGAGGTTTGAAGTCTTAGCCCGAAAAATCACGGTACTGTTTGTTGATTATCACCAACATTTCCATCGCATTTAGAAGCAGAATGGATTTAAAAATGTTGAATGAACCAGATGTAACTCAGAGTTCTGTGATGAAAGCTCCCGGCATTTGAAAGAAAACTGTTTACAATGCGTTACATCCATCCAATGAAACTATTTTCGGAGAATTCGTCAACTCTGGTGCCACCTGGAAACCAACGATAAACTCGAGACAATTAATAACGCACCCTTGACACGGTTCACCGCTATGAGGGAAGCGCATGGCACGTTCCAAATGGTGGTGAACATCATTTCCAAAGTGACTGAACTAGCACACGACAGGCATCATGTTAACTTAAATTCTTCCAGAGGTTGGTTTCGCTCTTGGTCAGACAGATGTCGTATTCAGTCCTTCAAAGTAGGAAACTAGCAAAGTTTGGCAGTACTAAGTGATGCGGTGTACGAGTTTCAAGTCGGGTTACTACTGCATTCGATCCATTATTCAGCTCTCTTTTTACTGTGGTCGACAAAGCAACTATTATGTTTTCGATCGTCAGGTTAGTTTTGCTACAGGTTTTGGAATTTAGTTGATTTATGGGCTCTCTCACATTATCATAGCTGTGTACGCGGGCGAACGGTCATCGGGACTGACCTAGATGGTAAACGGAATGTTGAATAAGATGGATGCTAGGTCTCCCATCGATCGATAACTCCTGTCTCACTGACCCGGCTGTGCAAATCTGTCTTCATGGTTCTTCCCAGGGTATTGACGAAATACAAACAGGTCGCTGTCCAAGTGACAACGTAACTGAGTTCTAACGCAATCCTAACCGTATTTCAGTGAGGCCATTCTACTCCGTGAATCACGTATGGAGCCTAATCAGTCACTGATGTCATGACTAATGACGATGGCACTAATGCCGACTAACGCAGGCCATAACAAAGTTTCAAAGAGGGAATTCATCGTGTATACAAAAAGCGAAGCGTGAAATGCAAAGCTAGGAAGCATTACTGGACAGCTGTTTCTACCTGGTTGGGTCCCATTCATGCAGTGCGCGAATCCATCAATCCAACGGAGGATCACGAACCCGGGA